ACATCGAAGTCTGATAGAAAGAAAAATAAAGTGCGAGTGCTGGCTGACTATGGAAATAAATAAGTAAACAAAAAACTAAATCATTGAATAATGTATTGGTTTGATACAATTGTCATATTTAGCAACTTTTAGTATCACAATTACATTTGATATTACAAAACTCTTTAGAATAATTCAGTTAGAGTGCCTGCTTGTGTTTATTCTAAAATCAACGAATTTGTGGCAATAAATTTCACAAAGAGTAGATAGCCCAGAACATGAAGAATGAAATACGAAGAGAGGATGGAAGAACCATCAAGCTCTTCGTATACAGAGTTTCTTTTTCAATATTTTATCGAACTTTTCTCATTTCATACTTTTCGAGCAAAATCAGTCCATTCTGTTTCTTTCATTCATAATATAAATGTGCGGATGAAAACGAGACTAGTATTGATATCCAAAAAAAATCCTATTTTCTGTCTAGATTGAAATATCTTATTTTTTTTCTAGGTAAAGAATTAACATTAACAAGTCCATTGGATAATAATCAAACACTTGTTCCATTACATTCACACGATAAACATCCAGAATATTTGATTTATGCTGGTATTGTATTTACAGTATTAAGCCGATTTTATTTATATGAATTCAGTAAACGTGAATGGCATCGAAAAGCTCCAACAAATTTAATTCATTTAGCATTACGTAGTCGTTTACAAGAACTAAATCAACAAATTGTTATTATTAATCAAATACTTGTTGATGATGTTAATCATGGAATCTCATCAGATTTTTCAAATTCTGTATTGGAAACTGTCAATGGTATTAAAATTCAGAATATTACACATCTAGCAGGATTAATTGATAAAATATCAAATAATGAAGATGATTGTTACATTCGATTTGGAATAGAGAATAACAGATTTATAGTGATATCATGTAAACGAGCTAAACAATCAGAAGCAAGAATTTTAAAACAAAATTCAATAGCACAACCAAGAAGTGAACATTTACGTTAATCTCTCTCTCTGCCTTTCTTCTCCTAATTTGCTACTTTTCTAGTTGAAAATAAAGTGAAGTTTTTGCTCTTTTATCATATAGCCTCAGTGACTAAAGGACGAATGTCCGTAAGACCCTCAATTGGCCGACCATTAATCTTAGTTTGATTTTGAAATTTTATTTTAAAAAACCTTAATTTAGATTATCCCCAATATTTTTGATGCAAAAGTTTCACGAAAAAGTCATTTTTAGATATAGTTTTATGGATGGTATATGTATCTATACTAGGTCTTCATCATAAAAATATGACTGAAAACATGCTTATGTACAATTAATGACCATATTTCGACATTAGATAATGAAAATCCATTTTTGTATTTACGTCATTTTGTAGAGAACTATATTCTCTATCTTCCTATATAAAGATCAAGTTAGTATGATTGAATCATTTTAGCTATAATCAATCAAAAAAATATCAATAGCTATCAAAAACAAGTGTTCATTTTTCTTACTTTCTATCAACTTCTTTTCTATTTATAGCTAAAATTCTACTCTAGAAATTGAAAATATATCTTGTCTTCATATTTATTTTGTAGAGAACTAAATTGTTTGTCTTCTTAATAAATCAACTTGAGATGATATAGTCTTTTAAGCTGTAGTCGATAAATGATTGATGACTGATCAAAAAATCCTCATCTATTTTATTTCGTACTATTTCAATATTTAATCAAAAGTTTTTATTTCTGTTCTATAATTTGTTGTTATGGGTGTCCTCTGGATCCGTCCTTAATTAGCTTTTCAAAATCAAACAACATTAAAAGCAGTATCACAGGTGAGAGTGAGTAATTAGGGACGAATCGAGAGTAAACCATCATTACGTGTTTTTGTGCAGTGCATTGATGTGAACACAAAAAAAATGAGAACCAGAACAATGAAATAGAAAAGCAAACAGTGTATTTTAAATCGATAGATATCCATAAATATCGATGGTTTTTTAGACTATTGTGTTTTGTGTTTTTATATTTGATACAATTTTGTTATTTAAGTGTTGATAATGGATGTGAGGTGTGGGTGCTAATCTTCTCGTCAACAACATCCACACCCGACCTTCAGTGGGCCTTATTTACGTTGAATATACTGAATAGTCTGAAAGCTGTGGGTACTGTGTAGAAAAAAACCTGTTAATTATTGCAAATTCTGAATAACACTGAGCAAAGACGCTTGAATGAATCAATATACAATGTTTTAATTTAGTTGATAAAATTTACAGTCAGGTAATAATCGATGATCACGCACATATATCATTGCATATTGATTGTCTATATATGCATAACTTTCACTGATTCTTAGTCATCTTAACAAAAAATATGAACTACTACCTCCTTTCTCATTCATCTGGAACGAAATTTCTTTCGTCATAATTAGTAGAATATTACTAATGCATTGAAATCGGACGTCAATAAACAATAGTCGTGACTTACACTAAAATCGTTCTGTTTTCATATTCAAGTAGACCCTTATTGATAGACGTAACTTCTGATTATGAACGTGGTTGTGAGTGTCATGCCCGTATGGATTTTGATCTTACTCATCTGTACACCAAGCAGCATAGACTACGTTTATTAGCTACCATCTACTTTGATGTGAAGACAAAAAATATGAGTATGAGTCACCGGGACTATTTGTTACTTCCTTGGTTACTTAAATTATAAATATTCGATTAGTTATGATTCAAGGAATGTCGTTCCAGATGGATAATAAAATCGGTAGTAGGTGATGCTTTTTTTACGCTGATAAAAAATAAGGGGAAGTCATTCGTGTAGGCGATTAGCGTGCAAGAATATATATATGTGTAGTCATCCACTATAAAAGGGTATACGTTTTTTCAAATACCTTAAGACAGCGTATGTTGATTCTGTCAAGTGTTTCTGCTTAGTGGTATTCATGATTTGTAGTAAACATTCATTCTTTTTATCTCCTTTAAAACTTCAGATGAAGATGTGATCTTTCTTTTTTCTCCATGGTTTTCCTGTAAACACTTATTTGAACAATTCTTATTTCATGTTCTATTATTACAAATCGATTTATTTTCCTTTAGTCTAATCGGTGACAAATTCTAGTGTAATACATATTCTTCTAGACTTCATCACGAAGTGAAAATTTTCATTCATTAGGAGAAACTACAGAATGCTACAGGTGAAATCCAACAATAGTTTCATAGCGATTGCTGATCCTCCTTCTTTCTGGTATAAAATATCTTGTTTACTGCATTTATACTGTTTTCGATATACTCTTAGGTCAACATGGTTTTCTTGTTTGATTTCCACGACACTCATCGGTCTGATACTTCTATTGATGTCATTGACCATTGTACTTTCACTCATTCCTCTGTATATCACAAGAAAAACTTCTTCAGCTGGCTGTAAGCTCGAATTGTTGTACAGACAGATTACTATTCTTGTTTATATGATTTAGCTTTTCAAAGTTCATTACTCGATCTTACATACAATATGCCACGAAGTCTCGTTTCTGATATCAGTGGAGGTGCTCAAGTACTACGCCAAGGAAGTTTGAGCAGTACTCGAGCCAAGCTTGTCGAACTGATTGTAATTAAAATTTTCTGATAAAATTGACTGAATTATATTGAACTGTTTCTTTATAGCTTCAAAGCAAGTTGAACGAGAATTCAAAATTAAAAAACCTTCGTATCAATGTTAGCAATGCCAAAATAGAGTCAACGGCAAGCACTCATCAACGTCGATTGACCGATAAAATGCAAGTTTGCATTTCCATTTATATGAATTTTTAATTGAATAAACACATGATTTTTAAGATATCTCGCATACGTCGTCTTTCAAAAGGAGATACTGTGGCTATTTATCAAGTACAGAAAAATTCTGCGGATTCTGATCAATTCATGATTTTCTTTCAATTATCGCATCGTCAACCTTTAACAAAGCGTCTGATTTCGACTATTCTCAACAACATTTTTCATCAAATCGAGTTCAACACGACATTATGTGAGTTTCAATATTATTTTCGTTCCCTTACTTTGACATTTCTAATGATTATATTTTCTTCACAGTTCTTGAATTGTTCGCCGAAGAATCTTCCACGACCACCATGACAACAGCCAATAGCATCGTTTCTACAACAGTAAGCAAACAAAACATATTGATGATCTCACTTTTGTATAAATCATGTACAGTATTCATCCGAAAATGAAGCATCAAATAACAAAAAAAAATGGATGAGATTTAAACGAATCATCTGAGTCCTTTTCTAGACAAATATTAGTTGAACAATAAAACTTGATTGAGAGTTTTTGAATCGACAATAGGGTGACTTCAGATTCTACTAATTTCATTCACAAGATTCAATAAGATTTTTACGATGACTTTGAATAGGTTCCAGATTTATCAACGAGTAAAATTATTCCTGATGTGAAAGACAGTCAAATTATGACATTGAATGGTGTTAATATCTTCGGTATAAAGGACTACTCCGGAAATGTTCAATCTTTCTATGCCATTGAAACAGACAATGCTATATACACCATTGGCAATGGTCGAATTGCCCTTATACAATCAGCGCATGGAACTTTTGTTTTCATTTATGATGACATCAACGATCAGTATGGGGTTTTGATCGTATTACAAAATAGTTCGTATCAAATACCAACTACTTACAACACACCCAATATTACTTTTCCGGCACCTGTGTTTGAATTACCGCCAGACGGAATTATACCGAATTTCTTCACCGGAATACTCATTGTATTGAATAATAAAATTACTAATCGATGAATTGAGGATGCTACTTTAAAGATGAATTATTTTGATGCAAATCATGGCAACAAAAGTTCAGTAATGTTGAACGTTGGCGGTGGGCGATATTATGCACCCTTCCCCACGAATGACACAACAATTGACTACTATTTTGATACAAAGAAACTCCTTACAACAATTGTTCAGCAGAGCGATGCATACATACAATTGATGGTAGCCTATCCGATTTCCGATATGTGTTCAAAAGTTCCGGATTCATTCAAAGCATTTTGCTCAGTCATTATTGAAGAAATGACTGTTAAAATTCCTGATGTTTTGCGTGCAGCATCAAATTACGTTTCGTATTTTCAATTGCAGCCCCCATCACTTGGCCAAGTGAGCGATTTCGAAATTGTCGCTTTCATTCCTGGAGAAGAATCAGTAACAGCACCTTTAAATGCTAACAATCAGATCAATGTGACAGCACAGACTCGGATGATTAATAATAACAATATGATAAATCCAAACAATCTAAATGGATTTTCTATTCAAGCAGGTGGTTCGCGGGGGCAATGTAATGAGCAAACTGTATCTGGAGGTGACACACCCGATGGCAGAATAATAGATATGGGAAAGTCAAGGACGACTGTGAAGTTTTCTTATGAAACCTATACCATTAAAGATCAAATTGATGTTTACTACATGAATCAGCAAGTCTTTTCAACTGGATGTGTTGGTGCAAACGGAGTGACTACTATATCATTGAACGATCAAGAAAGCACATTACGAGTCAATGTAATTCCTGATTGCGCTGGAGAATCTGGAACTGCTTGGTACTATACATTCGAATGCCCGAACGAGTTAATTTGTGAGGACAATGTTTGTTATTGCGGGCTTAATCGCAGACTATCTCAACAAAAGAAGAGCGCCGAGATCAACGGCTGTGGAGGAGAAGGTTCAGCTTTTAACTTCATCGTTGAGCCAATAGGTAATCGTTATAACTTCACACCTGCTTGTAATAAGCATGACGAGTGCTATGGAAATTGCACTACTCTCAGAGCATCATGCGATACTACTCTTCTTTCGAATATGTTGTCTGCTTGTGTGTCGAATATTCTTAATCCGTTACAGCCTCCAGATTGTTTTTTGTGGGCAGCAATCTTTTATACGGCCGTGCAAGGATTTGGTAGTGGTTTCTTCCGCAATGCTCAGAAGAGTGATTGCGAATGTATTTCAAAACGATGAAGACGTGGTATCAACGACAACAACACAATATTGACTGGATAATTTTAAAATAAGCAAATCTGAACATATTAATAGTACATGAGATTTAAATTCAATATCTAGTAAACGAGCAAATGTCAAAGTTATGAATCAGAATGTTTTATTCTATTTCAATAAAGAAATTTTCGATCTTATACGATTATTTTCAACCTTTTAGCAGGAAGGAAGTTGTTGTGATAATGTATAGAAATATAGAGTGTGAGTGTGGGGTGTAGAAGTGGAATTAACCATGACGAACACCCACACTATTTACTTCTCAGGAACCTATATTTCTTCATGGATATGTTTTTAGATGCGGTGATCCGGAAGAAAAATATATTGAGGATGTTCAAATGTATGGCCCTGTTGTTGAAGGAATTTTCGATATGAACTCTCCGTCTTTGCAAGAATCAAAACACGATAAACAAGTACCCCGGGAACTGAACGAAATGAAAAAAGTAGTTCGAATATTAGAAACTAAAATGGAAAGCATTCATGACGCTTATAAAGTTTACGAATTGACCATCATTATCCGAAATAGTTTCATTGATATCAACATAGTAAGACATGACGAAATTCAATGTAATATTGAGAAAAAAACCTCAAGGACACACAGATATTCCTTTAACTGAGCAGGGCAAGCACTTGGTTCAACAGTTTCAAGAAAAGTTCGCTGGCATTCATTTTGCCAGAGTATTCTCATCTAATATGTCACGAGCGCGGACTACTGCTGAATCGATCGTTGGTTCGAACAATTCAACTATTATTGAAACGGTACTGCTTCGAGAAAGAAGCTGGGTAACAAGGGAAGGACGTTTGGGTAATGAATTAAAATCGTACTTGGAAGCGTTTACCAATCTCGATAATTTCCCACAAGAAAAATACATGTCGTTCAAATGGGATGATACTGCTGAAAGCTATTCTGATGCATGTCAACGAATAAAAACTTTTGTTTATTCCATTGCAGTTTCTTCGTCTATGAGGAATAATCCTATTTTACTTTCTAGTCATGACGTTATCTTGTGAGCCATATTATATCACTTGAATTTTCGTCCTAGAGAACGTTGGCGAGTGACTAATTGTGCTTTTCTGAAGCTGAGAGTAAAGACGGATGGACAAATTACCATCGTGGCTTCCAACGGTATTGAATCAGTCGATCCAATGGAGACCATATTCTTATTTTGAAGTCTACTACCCAAACAATACAACATTGTAATGCGTCAAAGACTGTCTGATCCATTCTAGTCAATATTCTAACTTTTCGGAGCCTGGCTGAAGGTGCATTGATTTGTACGAACTCTTGTATCTATTTTTTTGACTTTATGTGCAGAACTTTTTCCAACGTTAAATATGCTGTAATACCCATACTTATTAAAAACTTTCAAGGTTCTACGAAAAACAATAAGACCAGTCGGCAATTGAAAACGATCGACAGCGGGAAAAAACGTCTTCTATTTATCGAAATGCGTACTCACACTCACATTTTGAGTCTTTCTTCTTATTCATCAAGCATTGAATGCTTGTTTTTGTTGTTTTTATTGAGTGTGTTGAAGACGAATCATTATGAAATTTTGCATGTGCCATGTAATATTTTCTTTCTCTAACATTAACTCTTTCGAACTCAAAGCAGAAAAAAAAGAGTAGTGTCAGTCAGCACCACTGTCGAGTTTGTACAAGACACTTTTCTTTTACGAATGTGCAGTACTCGGTTTCAAGTTTTCTTTCCACAGATATTGTCCACATTTGTTGGAAAATTTTTCTTTCCATACAAGTAATAACATTGTAAAAAAGCAAAGCATTGCTGAAATCGAGAAAGAAATGAGACACACCTATGAAAGCAAAAAATTGTCCCACATGACGTCATAAAATAAAACCAATGTGAATATTATTGAAGATGGAGGAAAAATCACAGGTCTATAAGTCATCAAACAGAGTTTCATGATGACAATATCTGTATATTTTGTCGCATTCATCATCAATACCAATAGTGAGTTTTTCTAGCCACATGCATATTCGCGCAATAAAAAGTAAGTGTATTTTCATACGATTATTTTCCTAGTGTGAAGCACAACATTTGTATTGACTGACGACAGACTTTTTTCTTTCTCCACATACGCAACAGAAATTCATATTTTGTTTCACATTGATTTCAATGGTAAAAATCAGAATAGATTCGTTGAAAGATTGTATGAAAGCTTCGTAGTCGTATAGGTATTATTTTTTCTTCGATCTGAAGTAAAACATATCGTATTTTGATAAAAAGCCTGAAACGAAAATCAAGTTTTGTAGATTTTACATTGTTGTTCGTATTTGAAAATAACTAAATGATAGATTAAGAGCATGTTTTATCAATATACTGATAGAAATTATTAGAATTGTCGAATTAATAAATGCTACAAGATTCTACGTTTCAGCTGTCATCTCACTCTCAAACAATTCAGTCGAAACAGAACTTTTCCTACGATAGAAATAAAAAAAGAAGACTCATTGTAGTCGACAAATTAATAAATAGGATGTGCGTATGGATATTGTTATGAGTTTTCTGTTTATCTACAGTGACATACACACACCCATTCCCATATTCGCTTCTTCTTTTCTTTCGCAAAAAGACTAAGGGTACGTTTGACAGTAAGAAAAGTAGTTTTCGTTACTTATCTCTCGATTACGTTCGATATTAGAGTTGCCACTGCACTATTATGCTGATTAGCTCTCTGTAAAAAATCTTTTGGTAGTCATACCTATTTTCATATTGTGGTCTATGAGCAGTATACATAAAATTTATTCGATAGTAGACATAACTGTTTATTAAATACCGATGAGTTGGCAATTTGAATTGTGCATCGATAACTTCAAATGTTTGTGTATTTATTTTTCATGGAACCAATAGATTCTATATTTAAGATTTAGATTGCTTTGATTGAATTTTTATTATCTATTAAAAAATGAATTCCTAAGCTATTTCTGATAGCATTCAATATATGCATTCATTTCGTTTCTTTATGGTCGTCGAATATCTAAGACTGGTAAACTGTATGTTATCATTTTACTACAGTACAAAACATTCTGAATTAACTTATTTTCATAGGTAGTCACGTCTCGAACACAGATTCTCTTCCGTTTTCCTTCGATTTTGTATTTTAGTACTAAAATAAATAAAAATTTTCTTCGACGTATCTTTTTTTTCGGTCAACAACTTCNCAATAGCCTGACGTTCCCCTGTGGTAGTTCTATGTAGGCATAGATTGCCATCACTGATCACGATTTCGAGAATGTTCCAAGTACATGAAAATTTGTGAAGTTGTCTCTTTTTTTGCTCTTCAATATTAAATATAATAAAATTCGCTTGTCCAATATAACAGATTTTAATCGAAAGAACTTTTGAAAACATTCTTTGTTCATCTTTGATTTACTCGTTTTCTTTTTGAATTTCGAAGCTTTTCTGAAAATCTTCTTGAGTTTAAAAACACTCGACTTTACGGATAATTGTTTATTTCACCAATTTCTATCATTAAAACTCTCCTCTTTGACATTTACTTTTTCAGCGATCTTGCAGAAGTTTTCTCAAAACCACTAATTCTATAGGACCTTGACGAACTATTTTTTAAGTTCTTTTTCTACTTGTTATAAATACATCTGTCGTTGTTGAAGAAATCATGAAAATTAACGTTTTTATCCTTCATCAACTAAGAGAACAACAGACAATCATTTTTTGTGGTTAAAAACTTATGAAAAATCTGTTATCTGTAATAAGCTTTTAGAAATTGGTATTATATTTCACTAGTGATGATATTTGTTGTTATAAGCTAACATTATTGTTTGATATCTTACAATGCGATTGGAGAAGAATGAAGCTCTTTATAAGATAGGGTATTTTCTTATCTTGAGTCACAAAGTCGGATTTCATTTTCTGAAGAATATCGATTGTAAGAAGTGAACATCTTCTAGAGTTATGTTCTTTCAACTGATGTATAGGATTTGATACTTTCTAGTAAGATTTACGATTAACAGTAGCAAAATGAATGAATAGACCTTTTTGTGAATCGCTTCATTATTATGCTTTTGATAAAAATTTTGTAGAAGCTAAAAGCCTGATTTATTATATGTAGCTTTTAACGGAAAATTTGAGAATCATACTACGTGTTTTCCTATGGTCTCCTCGAATAAAGCACTAGACATATTCCAGAAATTTTGTTATTAAATTAAGGCAACTTTTCGATGCTTTAAAGATTATCTGACTTTGAAATAAAGAAGTTTACCTATTGACAATATTCTTCGTCCACTTTTCTTACTTCTCTATTTTTCGTGTTTGTGCATGGATCAGTTCGAGAAATTATCCACATCCATGTTCGCTTATCGTTGCCCATGAATGATGCATACCTTCAATGGAATATAATCATAAGGAAAAATGCAAAGCCATCGATATCAGACATCAATATTTTTCTTTGGACATGGTATAGGGCTTACATCGAATTTTTTAAATACATTTTGCATGAATATTGAAAGTGAATACCATGAACGATGCTTAAGTTCTTTTCTGTCAGAAGCGTCTCTCAGTACCCGTAAAGCCCAATATCGACGAAAAATAATACATACAGTTACTTTTGTGCGTAAAAAAAAATAATTTCTATTAAAAGTACCCTTTATTATGATGGAATACACGCAGAAAATTGAATAATTGGGAAGAAAAAATCGAAGACTGATATAAAGACAAACGAAATGCGAGTATTGAATGACTGACTATGGAAATAAATAAGTAAAGAAAAAACTAAATCATAGAAAAATATATTGACTTGGCACAATTGTCATATTTGGCAACTCTTAGAATCGAAATTACATTGGATATTGAAAAACTCTTTAGAAAAAAATCATTTAGAGTGCCTGCTCACAAAGAGTAAATAGTTCAGAACACAGAATAAAATCCGAAGAGAGGTTGAAAGAACCATCAAGCTCTTAATATACAGAGTTTTTTTCAATTTTTTACCGAACTTTTCTCATTTCATACTTTTCGAGCAAAATCAGTCAATTCTGTTTCTTTCATTCATAATAAAAATGTGTGGATGAAAACGAGACTAGTATTGACATTGAAAAAAAAATTTCTTATTTTCTGTCTAGATTGAAATATGTTTTTTTTTTTTTTTTCTAGGTAAAGAATTAACATTAACAAGTCCATTGGATAATAATCAAACACTTGTTCCATTACACTCACACGATAAACATCCAGAATATTTAATTTATGCTGGTATTGTATTTACTGTATTAACCAGATTTTATTTATATGAATTCGGTAAACGTGAATGGCATCGAAAAGCTCCAACAAATTTAGTTAATTTAGCATTATATAGTCATTTAGAAGAACTAAATCAACAAATTGTTATTATTAATCAAATACTTGTTGATGATGTTAATCATGGAATAACATCAAATTTTGCAAATTCTGTATTAGAAACTGTCAATGGTATTAAAATTCACAATATTAAACATCTAGGAGAATTAATTGATAAAATATCAAATAATGAAGATGATGGTTATATTCGATTTGCAATAGAGAATAAAAGATTTATAGTGATATCATGTAAACAAGCTAAACAATCAGAAGGAAGAATTTTAAAACAAAATTCAATAGCACAACCAAGAAGTGAACATTTACGTTAATCTCTTTCTGTTTCTCTTCTTCTAATCTGTTACTTTGATAGGCTAAAATAAAGTTAAGTTTTGCTCATTTATCATATAGTCTTAATGACTAAAGAACGAATATCAATAAGACTCTCAATCGGTCGACCATTAATCTTAGTTTGATTTTGAAATTTTATTTTCGACATTAGGAAATGAAAATTCATTTCTATAATTATGTCATCGTGTAGAGAACTAAATTCTCTATCTTTCAATTTAACGATAAAATTAATATGATTGAATCATTTGAGCTATAATCAAAACAACATCAATAGCTATCAAAAACAAGCCTTCATTTTTTTTACTTCCTACAGGGCGTGGATGTAATGAAGATGTGAGGAATGGCTGTAAAACTAATGTCACCACCAAAATCCAGATCCACGCCCACATCCTTGATTCCAAAACGAATACGAACCGATTCTATCTAAATATAATACGCTACTAATTACATTTGTTAACTCGTATTAAAGTAGAGGAAAATAGTTCAGCACACTTTTTTTCTAGACTCTTCCTTAAAGATAACTTATTGAAGAAATTCAAATAGTTATTTTGACAGTTCTCAAAGCAGCGCACAAAAGTGAAATGTGAACAATTTTTGAAGTATAGGCATTTTAATTCGATTAAAAAAAAAGTTTTCTCCAGAGAAAAAAACCTTAGCATATTTTTAGTATTTTGCCAATGTTTTCATTAACCAACAAAAACTGAAAGCAGTTTTATAGACAGTTCAATGCAGAATTTTACGGTTCACATTTTGGTACAATGGCATTCATTCTAATATCAACTTGTCAAATAATTAATAACTATTAATAAAATTTTGCTTTGTTTTTAACCTTTAGCTATTCTATGAGAAAGGGCATTAAAAATTATGCTATTATTATCTCAAAATAAGACATCTTAATGAGATCTTGGAAGTATTTTCAACTTCAGTTAATTATGGTTCTCATCAATTTTTAAATTTTAATTAAGAAACAGAACTTTGAATCTAAGAAAAAACAGTGCGTTTTGAAAAGCACGACTTCCTTTTTGCAGTGATGAGTCGTCACTATTTGAGCAAATTTTGTCGAAAATATTATAGATTCTTGAATTTTAACCCTTTCGTGCCGGGGTTTTTTCGAAAAAAACTAAGTTTTTATATAAGTGAAAATATATGTTTATTCAATGAAGAAACATCATCAAAAGTGTTTTAGGGTATGATAAGCTCGAAAACAATCGATTATGCACAATCCCACATCACACTGATATCGTGTATATTTGGTTGATTGTTCACGTCTTGTTGTATGAGAGCATACATAACATTTCCTTTGCGCAGTTTCTTTTGCGGCAGTTGAGGGTACAAGTGACGGAAAATGTCTAGCAGACAAACGTAGTGGTGAATCAATNGAGATCTTACATCTCCAGTGGTGAATGACCTCATCTCCCGAGTGTGGGTGCCGCGTCTCCCGCTGGAGATGCGGTGGCATCTCCAAAATCTTGGATATGTGACACTACTCCCATTCTATAGTGTTTTTCTCTGGTAAAAATTTTACGCTGAACAATTGAAGTGTTACTGAGACATGATGTAAATCTTGTTCTACATGATCATGAAAATCATAATGTCATGTTATTATTTATACTCACCGTTTTCTTAATATCTTGAGAAAGGAAAAAATCCAACATAGGTTTTTTTTTTTGATTGGATTTAAAGGATTGTTGGAAGAGCTACAAAATTAGATACTTTTCAAGCTTTTTAGAGGTAGCCTTTGTTAAAAAAAAAAAAAGGATGACTTGAATTCCGTTTACAGACCAATTTTTTACTTTTTTTTCACCAATCTCTAACAGATTTCGATTGGGAAAAGTAGCCGATTGAGTCAAAACAAATAACATATTCGGAATCAGCATAAAAAAAAAACTTAATCGACTTATATGTATTTCGAAACTTTTTTTTGACGAAAATTTTCATCTCGAAAGTATTCAGCTGCAGTCTTTAATCAAAAAGTGAATTTAATGAAAACACTGTTTTTTTATTCGTTAGTTATTTGTTCTTTTGTTTTGTAGCGACGCTTCAAGACTCAGAATTTGTATTCCACTGACAAAAAGATTTTTCAATTAAATTCATTTTTTGACTAGACTTGGGAGGACCTACCCCAACTGGATTTTTTCGAGAAAAAAACTTCGTCACGAAAGCTTGAAGAGACATGTAACTCGGCTCAGTTTTTTATGCTAGTTTCAAATATGTTATTCGTTTTACCTGAATATCCACTTTTTCTAATCAAAACTTGCTAAAGATTGGTGAAACAAGTGTCTAAACGAAATTCAAGTCGTCTTATTTAACAAAAATCACTTCTAAAATAATTGAAAAATATCTGGTTTTGTAGCCTTTCCAACAAGCTTTCGAAATCAAGAAAAAATTTACTCTTTTTTTTCTTTCTTTCTCAAAGTGTTAAGAAAATAATGAGCAAAAATGGTAACATAGTATTATGATCTTGTTGCTTATTTAGAAGAATATTTACATCATTACTCAGTAACACTTCAACCGTTCAAGTTGAAATTTTTACCAGAGAAAGATTGTCGAATGAGTAATCGATTGACGTCATTTTCAGGTGAAAATGTCTTAGTATGAAAAATGGATCTGCATTCTTATGACTTCGGATTACTATGTTAGCAAATGATTTCTTATAAAAATTCTATATTAGGTAAACTATAAATCGAGGTTAATTGAGGACAGTTCGAAAATGACCCTGATGCATTCTTGTCCTTTGAAATATTTCTAGAATAACTTGAATTTTTGATTTTTCCTATAAGAAAAAGTCGAATATCTCTTAAGTCTGGTAGAATCAATAGAAGATCAGAATAAAATAAAAATGTACATTTAAAATAAACATGGCGTGCATTATTTGGGTAGATATTCTCGTATCACGTTTTTATTACTATGAAATACTTTCATAAACTACTTAAATAATCATATTTAAGGTTTAAATCAAAAGTTTTAGGATAAGTTTCGTATAAGACAGTCATTGTATGATCATATAATTTTGGTCTTCTGAGATAGTTGCAGATACTCTCTGTTCAAATTCTGGATGCATAAAAATTTTAAATTAATCAAAACTGATGTGAGTGTAGATGTGTTTGAAGTGCAGACCGTCACGTTGACACCCACACACCAAAATGAAAACAACACTCGATTACTGAAGCGAAGATGACACTAACATCTAACTGTTAAGGTAATATGAGCGGTGTATGAATAGGTTTATTCTCGGCACTCTAACCTACACTCACTCACGAAAAAAAAATACATATAAAACATCCCATGTCATCAAAGTCGGCTCTGTTTTGACGATTAAACGAGGACTTTGTATATTTATTTTAAAAAAATCCTTTTATTAAATTTACATCGATCTCAAGACAAAAATGAACAGTAAAGTATTATTTTATAAAAACTATTTTTTATTATTTACGGCATATGAGAAAAGATAATATTATCTTTCTCGTCATTCGTGAGAAATTTTTATAGGTACAATGATAAAAGATAATCGTATACCCATTGTGACACAGTTCTAGTCCTAGAACAAAGCATCAAGGCTACTATCTATTACAAAAAATAATGTGCTTCACTGGTTTTTTTTTTGAATTAATCTCGATAGGGACATCATAGAAAACTGCGATTTTCATCATTCAAGAAAAAATAACCAAATCCATTGAAGTATATTGTAATTTGATTGGTCAGCAGGCCACTAATCATGTGAGTTCTTGTCGAAGGTTTTTGAAAATGATATTGTGGAACTATTTTCATTTTGATCTATGCAAAGACAACATTTCTACCTTGTTGTCTTCAAAAGTTATAAGACTGTTCTTGAAACCCTCGATTTCACTTAATTGATCTGTTGTCATCCCGAAAAGTAGCTAAGCAGAAGTAATTAATCATACTGAGTGAAGTAGTAACATTTGAGTTTAGATTTGAAATGATCTGGTACTGTTATTTCAATATTTCTGAACTTCACAGGCGACCTCCATGCAATGAAGGTGTCGACATTTTGGAAATATTGGGATAAGAGTATTAGATCAGTCTGAGTCTAAAACTAAATATTATTATTCGGTTCAGCATGATGAATTCCTCCTACTTAGTTGCTTTTCCGAATGATCATAGGCCAACTAGCTGAAACTGAAGATCTCAGGAAATGTCTTATAACTTGCGAGAGAAACAAGCTAGAAATATTACTCTTGAGTAAACCGAAAAAGGAAATAGCTTCGAAATATCGTTTTCGAGAAATCTCCACCAAGAACTAACCTGATTGGTCAATTTCTGACCAATCAAATTTCGATTTAGTCCGATGGCTCCGAGTCTTCGTTCTTGAATAATGAAAAAAATCAGTCCTCTATGATGTTTCTATCAAAAATTATTCAAAACCAAGTAACGCACATTATATTTTGAAGTAGATAGTAGGTCTGATCACTGTAAATATCGTACAGAAAATTGCCAATTTTTCATCACATGGAATAGGCACGATTCAAATTAATATGTTCATTAAAATTCTTCTCGTTTTTCAGCGTTGCTCTTCGTAAAAGAAACAGTTTCTTTTATGAATATACATTCTCTAAATGAAATAAACATATTGAATTTTTTACCATAAACTAAATAGTAATTTGTATTGTTCCGATGTTTGAATAAGTCGGCATGTCTATCATTTGATATTTTTATTTTCAATCAAGGTAGAAGTTACCATCATATAATTATATATAAATCGTTTACAAGTTGAATGGGTCTGAGAATGTGTCATATATCAGAGGTGCGTACCATGCCTAAAAAAACTAGGTGGGTATGGCGCAGTGACATCTAACAATAACTGGGGACCTTTTTTTTCTTATATTCGCAACACTATAATATTTCTTAAAAATAGTGTTTCATTTTTTGAACATTCGCGTATAAACGACAATATTCTATTGCAAATACGATGAAAAGAATATTTATTTAGGCAAGACATACACTTATAATGCTCGTTTCACTTTTAACCTATTTTAAATGAAAGTTTTACTAATTGATGATTTTTAATATTATGCTCGTCAGAGTGAAATTCATCAAGACTATGAGTTAGATCTATTTGTTATCAGGATAAGTTTTAAACAACATTACTGATAATTTACTTAATAAATTAAACCAATGTGTATCGAAATGAAGTAATAAAACAAACAGTATATTATAAAGAGAGAGTCTGTCAACAATAAAATCCATTTTGCTTACTTTCAGCATTTAGTATACATTCTTTAAAAAATGGCCTACCAATAGAGTTCAACAGCGCGGTAACCCAACGAACATATAAGAATAAAGATGAGCACGAAGTGACCACGAAAACATCAGTTACAGATGCTGTGGATGGTGGACTTCTCGAACAGACAGTACCTAACTCTATTAAATATGACACTAACGAGTTGATATTGATTTTTATTTCAAGTATTTCATACTTACTATTTGTTTTTCTAATATATTAAATAACATTAAATTTGAATATTGATTTTTTAAAATTGTTTATTTACCGTTTTGATAATATATTTGATCAATCAGTATGAAGTAGTTATATATTATAGAAAGGATATGTAGACAATTATATATATATATACACCGATCGTGGGATGCAAAATAACCCATATGCGAAGGCGTGTATTTACTATACTTATTCATCTTTTTGTATAATTAGAATAAATGCAAAAAAGCAAAATCCGGAACGGTTGACATATCTATGTGTCGATCTGACAGGAGATAGTAGATCGAACTATTTCAGGGTATATGTACGTGTTGAGGAGGATATGCATTGATGCTAATTAAGAGCATTACAGATGAATCCACCCACACGAGTATGTAGTATGTATTATACTTTTTAAAATCTTTTATCAAATGTTTTTAACGAAAGAAAAATTGAAAAATATAAATTTTATGAAACTCATGAAAATATTTAAGGTGTATAACAAAATGTGAAGTCAATTGATGAACTTAATTAATCAGATAAATGTATTTATTTTTAAAAGATCAAAGAGTTTATTTTCTTTTTGTTAGTTAATAGCTTTGCATTAGAGAAATCGACAAGGAATAGATCTGTCACATATGTTGTCTTTGATTGAATATATGATTAGTTAAAAGTAAATCATTTTTCAATGTATTTCGTCAGATAATAGGATATTTAAACATTAATACAACAGTCATAAAGTCATAAAAATAATCGATAAAGATATTGAAGAATTTTAATACGTGGTCTATATATATATATATTAAGAAAAATTTTTTATAAAAATTGATTTTAATATAATATTTTCAACATATTTATCTCAATTCAACGACTAGAACAAAATAAATTATTTCATAATTAATTTATTGTCATAGAATAATTATTTATACGAAAAAAAACTTTTTTTGATTAAGTTAACATTTCTCGATGAAAAACAAAAATCAGTTTTTTCTGTCCTATTAATCCATGATATTTAAAATGGCTTAATACTTAACGAAACAGTTATGGATATTTGTATAATGAAAGAAACATCGATATTCTATAGTCAATAATGTGTAAAGATAATACTTCTAAATATTCAATTATAATTCTTATCAAAACGAACATATGATAATATGAATATATGATTGACCAAAAAAGTGCGACTTCAAATTTCAAGTAGAATATCTATATATTTAAGCCTTGCACTGATTTTCAGATCTTCGATGAGAAGTTCGAATGCACATCTGATAATTGGAAATTCATTATAAACACCTTATGAAGTAGATTTGTTTGCGAAAAGATCGATAGAGAATTTTGAAAGAATTATAATAAACCATTCAACATGACATTTATTTATTTTTTCTTTGAAATTGCCTTTAGTTTGATCATCACATATGTATAGTATTGTTCGTTAACAACGTGATTTCTCAAAATAATCTTTGGACTCGAGCATTTATTTTAACTTCTTTTTATGTAACAAATATATGATGAATTATTCTAGATTTCTTGAAAAGTTTAGTCTTATAGACCTGACTTCCACAGATTTATTATTCAAAAACCAGCATTAAAGATATGACATAACGAAAGACAAAAGTTTTCACTGCGTACATTTCTATTTACAAATCCTGCAAGTTCCAAGAATATTGTTGAAAATGAAATAATGCGTTCTGTAGAAGATACTTCAAGCTACAAAATTTTTAAGCAAATTTTTTTCTTTAACATGCTTAATTTTCTCAGAAAGTCGGATCTATTCGTTATTATCGACGTCAATAAGTACGATTATAGAAACGAACAATTCTATTAAAACTGATTAAGAAGTTCAAAAAAAACCATTCTAAATGATACAAATCCTTCTTGCAAATCGTGAGATGATATTAAAGATCATATATCGTTCTGGTACAAGGATAGATCTTTGGAAAATCGACTTTTTGAATGCAATTATTTAGAATTTAGTTTTGCTGAAAATTTCATCATAGTCATAATCTATAATCTCAAGTCTATTCTGAAATTCTTGAGTTTTACCGTCATAAGATAATAGAGTTATCCGCTAATTATGAGCTGAAAGAGCTACAATTTTTACATATATTCATAGGAAAAAAACTTATTCAAAATAGTCATGCGACATTTTCGCTCATTTTAAATGTCTTCTCAACCTTTCTATACGATACTGAAGTATCTTCACCATCACTTTTGACATGACTTAAGTACTTTAAATATTATATCTTAGGAATAGAGATGTGTGAGACCGAAGTTTATTCGAATTGGGATCACGAAAAAAGAAATAGTTCACATTTATTTCTTAAATAAATCAATTTTTCAACTCATTAAAAATTTTTAAACAATGATTAGTTAATTAGATCATGTCATTTCATGCCAATCACTTATAAACTAAAACTACGGCTTGTTTTTTCTTTAGACATCCGACTTTTATTTATTTATTTTTTTTTGTCATGCAAATATAATAGTTGAAAAGAAAAAAGGCACTTGATTATATAAGAATAAAAATAAAAAAGTTTGTAAGTGAGATATTATCCATTTCAATACATGATTAGAACATGAAAAAATGTAAACTGAAACGTTTTAAATGTTTAAATCTATATTTCAAAATTCAACAGCACATACATATAAAGACGAATAATTTCTACAAATAATGAGATATTCTCATATAAATATCAGTAATAGTTCTACTACGAATATTTCTTCTATTTGTTTTGTATTGAATTTACAAACGTACAATACGATTTTCTGATGTTAAAAGTCCAAGACGTATATAAACATCAGTACCAATACCATACATTGTTTCAAATGCTAATGAACCATTTAAATATTCACAATAAGCACGTGATGTAGGCACACCAAAACCATATCTAAACAAATATTATTAAACACAAAAGAAGTTTGTTTATTTTTTTACCCGCTCATTCTATGTTGACTATTTCTTTTTGTAAGTTGATCATATAAATGATCATCAAAATCAGTATATGATAATAATGATGATTCATTAGATAGATTATTTGATGAAAAATGATAATCATGTATTTTATTAAGTAAAGATCCTGGCATACCACCACCACGATCTCTTATTCTAATAAACACAAAAAAACGATTTAATATAAACATATAAGGTACTGACAATTTGAAATTTCAACAAATATTTTTCTTCTGACATTATGTCATAGTTGGAGAGAACGCATTAAGTATTGTTTCTGATATATTCAGAAAATGTTTTAGGAAAATTAGCCTTAAAAAAATCAGTAAAATTGAGAATGCTTTTTTTTTTTGAAGAAAATCGATATTTTCGATAGGATAGCAAAATACCAATTATACTAGTTTTTATTCAAAGATTTTGATTATAAGAACTTCAGTGTTAGTTGAAATGAATGTTATATTCAGAATCAGCATATATATTTGTATTGAACAATATATTCAATACTAATTTTTGCCTTTAGAAGAAGCACAGGTTAGAGTATTCGATAATAACAGTAAGAAGGTTAAGGGAACTGCGAATCTTTTCAAATCCGGGCCTAGATCCAACGTTTAATTCATTGTCAGATTCGAGTACATAAATATAACTAACACTATTCCATACAGCTGAGAAAATTTTGATATTACTGTTGGTTTGACGAATTTTGTTTATCAATTAATTGTTCAATTTCCTTCTTTTTTTCTTCTGTTAACATAATACTGTTTTCAACTAAGCGAAAACTTTTTATTTATCAAGCATCAGGTGATTGGAAAGTGAGCAACAAAAAACAGACTCTAGAGAGATATTCTTTTTTTTTGCTGTGAGCAGTCAATCCATAGCTAAAACTTTGATCTTTTACTTGCTCATGGGCACAGGCAGTACCAGATATTGAGGGAAAAAATCGATGCTAGTTTTAATGCTGATTCTGAATATGATATTCACTTCAACTAACACTGAAGTATCGTATTTTTTGGTGTTTCATCATCATATCGAATTTCTCAACAATATTTTTCAAAAAGTGAATTCGGATAAATATTGAGAATAACAAGACTTTATGTTTTTGGCATATTTGAACTTTTCTGATTTTGTTAACTTCATTTTCCTAAAATATCTTTTGAATATGTCAAAAACAAATATTGTTCAATTTCGAACTTCTGACATCTTAGATAGAAAGAAAATGTTTTGTTTTTTTTACCGTAAGAGTAATTCATCATCATTAACCGATATGGTGACACAAACAGTTGGTAAATTTTTAGCAGAATTTTTATGATATTCAACTGTAGCTCTAAAAAAAAATAAGATTAGTGAAAAGATTTTGCCTTCAATTTAATGGTACATGAAGCACATTTTATCTGATAATCAATTGAAATTCACACAGAAGATATATGGATCTATGGGCCCACAACAACAAGAGAGTTTTAGGATTTTATTTTTACTTAACTATCTATTCAAGGAGATTGAAGATGAAAACTCATTTCATTGGACTATAGTCTGAGTAAATAAGTCTCGATAGTATGTCATGCAGTTCAGAATAAAAAAGAAGTTTTCGATGAATGATAAACTCCTATCTCTGATACATAGATTCATCTATATAGTGACAAAATATATTTAGATTATAGTTGAGGAAATAAATCTATAAATTATCTTTAATGAATAGTAACTCTTAAGAACAATTTTATATTCGATACTCATCTTTCATTTAACTTTGATTCCTTATAAAGTTTGTTTTTCTGAATAAGGTCTTTTAGGATAAACATTGTTGACTCTTTCAGCCGACTATTTATAAAAAAAAAAAAGTAACTAGTGAATATGTCTCTAACCTTACGAAAAAAAAACTGAAATCATTAAGATAGACTCTACGACACGAACAACGTATATGGTGAAATTTTCATCAAGATCTAACTTTAAAAAAAACTGTTTTTTTTAGAAATTCTATCAAGTCCTAAGACAAAAATCTTCATCTTACCATCATCTAGTGATTTTGAAAAAGGATTGTACTATTTGCAATTCGTTTCGAACTTTTTATTCGGTTATAAAAGCATTTTTTCGTACTACGTTATGTCGCTAACGAATAGTCAATCAGTTTTTTTTTGGAAAACCCTATCTTAATTCGAAGATTTGTTAACTAAAATGCATTAAGTGAAAATCAATTTTCTTTTTTGTATTACGCCACTAACGCTGGTATGTTACTCACAACTTCTCTGAACAAAGGTCTCTAGCACTAATCTTTTAGCGTATATAAGCCAGAGTTCGTCGGCTACAAAATTTCGTACCCAGATCTAGAATCAGCCCTACCGACTTTAATCTTAACATAAAAACATTATCTCTTGGAAAGTTCATTATCCTAAGAAGCACGCGTTTTAATTTTTGCTCATGCTACGACAGCAAAAATCATCTGTAGAGTGTTACCAAAAAAAAAAAGAAAGAAGAACATAGCAACTATATCAAATTTTGTAAATTACTTTTGAACAAAAGTCATCTTACCTAAATGCATTTTTAAGCATTTCAGGTACAATATAACTGAGTGGAGTTGTTATATAAGGAAACGAACTATTCACATGTCCATCAATTGTAACATCCGGTGCAATACCATATGTCGCTCGACATACTTCCCTAATTAAAAGAAAAAGAAAAGATTGAATGAAACATTTTTTTTTCTCTTTCAATTAACTTACTGAGCATATTCAGCTGATGCTTCAATGAGTTTTTTCGGTGAAAAACTCATACAAATAACACCAATATGATTAGGCTATAAATTAAATAAACAATAAATTTCTTCAGGTACTGGTTGTAGATTTTTTTTTTGTTATTTACTTTATCTTTTCGTAATTCAATATGATGTTCAATTAACATTTTAATAGCTAAACGAGATGTAAGTGCACGATCAAGAAAATTTCGTACAAACATTTCTTGCTAGAAGTAAAACAAATGATCAAATTAAATTAATTAATTTATTATTATTACTTTAATATGCCGTTTAGATTTACGAAAACCTTCGACTAATAATGGTAATGTATCTGAGCTACAGTTAAGTGTATTTTGTAATAAATCTGTAAAAATTTTTTCATGTTCAAGTGTTTTAATCTTAGTAAAAAAAAGAAAAAGAAAAAGAAGTTATCAGTTTTAGAAACAAAATTTTTTTTGTATTTATATTACCGGTGGAAATGAATGAAGTGTATGAAAAATTTTAATAAAACGTTCATGCTAAAAATCGATAGAGAAAAGAAAACACATTCTTGATTAAGATAATTAATCAAAAAATAAATAAATCTACCAATTCTAATAGAAGTGGATTACATGCAACAACAAATGGTAAATTTCGAAAATCATTAATACGATGTGCAAAACGTATTGGTAAATCTTTATGTAAATATTGAGCTGAACGCTATGAAATAAAATTATGTATTAGAAAAATTAAAAAAAAATTTTTTTTTTTGTTATTTTGAGACATACTAATAGATGTCCACCATCGTCAGTTTTTCCGATATACATCATTGTTAATGGTGAAAGACGAGTTGATTGCTAAATTGAAAAATACATTTACTTTGTTGTTTCTTTCAAGAAATAGTTAAATAATACTTTAAGTGCATATTGTTCAATAGCAGTTTGACAATAAAATGATGTCACAGTAATATTTGATAAATATTGATCATGAATTTTCTTTTCTGCTGATGGTTTAGAATTTAGATCATCTTTTGCTATATTTGTTTGAAAACGAACAAAATATGATAATTGAAATGAATATCGACGAAATTTATTACAAAACATAATTGTTTTAAAAGGAAATGAAATAATTGATTATTATGTTGCTTTGTCTTTATGATTGGTATCATTAGATAAGCCAATCAAATGTTTATATACAAAAGAAGAAGAAGAAGAAATGTTTGATATTCGATGTATGAAATGTCCATAAAGTAAACATGATATTTCATTGGAAGGGCCAATCAAGATGAATATAATCAAAAATTTCATTGAGCTTGAAGAACTAATTACAATACTTAGAATATCCAAATATTAAACTAGATAGTAGTATGAAGAGATCAAAGTAGATAAAGAAAGTATTACAAAAAGTCGAATAAAAATATGTTTTAACGTAACAACACTTAAGAGTCGTGGAAATTAGCTGGATGAATGCCAGAAAAAGCTATAAAGTAGCGAAGTAAGTTGTGTATTGACTACAAACATCAAAGAAATAGAAAGTATTCATGTATGTTTCTACAAAAAGACAAGATTGATCACCTAGAGAACTTTCCTCGTAAGATCATCAACGTAAAACCTACAATACAGTAAGTTATATTTATATTTCAAATTATATTTGAATTTTCGCTTAGTATATTTCTCGACAATTTTTCTCATTACAGTATTGTAGTTGATAACCATTGTGGTCAACAAAAGTCAATACAATATTCTATTTCGTCTCTCCACTATACGCATTGTGAAACTTCATGATCATCAATGCCATGTACATGATATTCATCAAGTATCAAACCAATGATAGTCATTAGTTAATCTGTCTATCAGAAGACGTTTGTAGAGAGTATACATTATAAATCATAAACAGTCATTGCAAAAATGCGAGTTTTAATAAAAAGTCGAGAGATAATCGTAAGAAATCGTCTTTTTAGATGATTTTATCGCGATACTATTTCATAATTGATAGAACTAATAAATCTCGATAAAGTCATCAGTTTTTAGGCGAGTATCATTATGTCTAACTGTTTTCTTCTTTTTATAAATTAATCAAATTTTAAGTAAATAGTTATTCAGAAAATTATTATTTCTACTGTTTTCAGATATGAGTAATCAATCAAAAACAATAGATGAAATACTATAGCTCGATTAAATACCAAATTCTTTCCGGATATAAAACTCATATAGTAAATTGAGCAATGTTAATAAATCGTGAGTCAGATTTTTTTTTAAAGTCAACTTTCTCTTGATGTTTAAAAAAGTACATTATCACTTTTAAAATAGTTCACTACTGATTATTGTAAATTGTTTTTCTGAGTAAGCATTCTATAATAAACACCACGTTGTTGTATCAATTCTATATGAGTACCACTTTCCACTATATGTCCTTTATCAAGTACACAAATCAAATCACATGAACGAATAGTTGAAAGACGATGTGCAATGATGAGTGATGTTCGATTAGGATCTTCTGTTTGAGCTTGTTCAAGAGCTTCTTGTACAATCTATAATTGGAAAATGAAGATGAAAACTTCAATTGATAAACAGAAAAAATAAAATAAACAAATAAACTTACTTGTTCATTATATGAATCCATGGCACTTGTAGCTTCATCTAAGAGCAATACTTTAGGTCGACGAAGAAGAATTCGAGCAATTGCAATACGTTGTTTCTCACCACCTGACAGAAAACTACCTTTGAAACCTACCTTTGTTTCATAACTCTAGAAAAAAATATCATACAATAGTAAAAGATATATTATATAATTTTGTATTCTTTAACCTGAGGTAATTGATCAATAAATTCATGAATATTAGCTCTACTTGCTGCATTGATAATGTCTTCTATTGGAACATTTTCTAATCCATATGCTATATTTTCAGCAATTGTTAAATCGAACAAAATTGGTTCTTGACTGACAAGACCAAATTGAGAACGAACCCAATGAATGTTTAGTTGTCGAATATCAACGTCATCAAGCAGCTAGATTGAGTGGACAAATTTTATATAATTACTTAAAGTTTAAGATAAAGAAATACTAACTAGTTGACCACTAGTAAGATCATAGAATCGTTCTAATAGTTGAATTATTGTTGATTTTCCACATCCAGATGCACCTATACGAATCATATTACGTAGTTAATATCGAAAGAAAACATTTAAATCAAACATACCAACAAGAGCCACACGTTGACCTTATCAGTGAATAGAGATTTTTAATAAAATTATTCAATCAAAATTGAACACACTTACTTGGTTTGATATTCAATTGAAATTTGTTAAGAATAATAGATGTTGGACGAGTTGGATAGATAAATTTAACTGCATCAAATTTTATTTCACCACGAAAGTCAACCTATACGAATCATATTATATCCATGACATGTGCACATGAGTGAAATAAAATAAGTTGTCTTCTATGTTCTCTTACCAATTCTTGTCCTTCATTAGATGTATTGTCGATAGCTGGTTTTCGATCAAATAAATCAAAAAACGATTCAGCAGCTGAGGTAGATGCAGCAATACGCCAAGATCTAGAATGAAGACAGTAAAAGAGAAGAAAACAAACAAAATAGAGATTGAGTGTCACTTCATTCCAACAAGTGATAGTGCTTGTATCGAAAAACCAGCAAAAGAACAAACCCTAATAAATTGAAAAGATATTGAAACATTGTCTCTAGTTTATCAAAAACTATGGTTTTAATTACATTATAATACTGTTTGAAGTGAGTTCGTTCTTTTCAAACAAAACGAGAGCACGCCAATACATAAATGCCATAGTGTATATATCTAGTATCCAGAATATACCATATGCTATTGAAGATAGTATCCAAAATTTCCAAGGCAATCTATAACAAAATCAGATTGATTTTAGAATTTTTAAATGTATAAGATTCGTTTGACGAACATATGTACTTCATAAATAAATTCAGAAAATTTTTGTAAAACTTCTTTTTCTATAGACAATTGTTTTATTGTGTGCATGTTGTGAATAACTTCAACAGCAAGCTGCAAAAGTAAAAGACTTGATAAATATGGTGTATTTGACTTATGAAACAATTGAAGATAAAATAATTTTTCGTATAAAAACGAGGATTATCAGTTAAAATCTGATCTTACCGTGCTAGCTCGTCCAAGAATTTGATCAGATTGTTGATTCAGCAATATACGCAAGCACACATTCCCGTAGGAGACTATAAATAGGATAACAAGAGGCAGAAAAATGATCACTGCCAATTGCCAACTTATGAAACATCCAAATAGAATTCCGAAAAATGACAATGCGAGAGCTTCGCAAATGGCTCCCAATCGTATACCAGCCATCTCTTGAACAGCTAATGCATCAGAAGAAAGACGAGCACAAATTGCACCTGAACTGTTTTCAGGTTGATCAAAATAAGCAACTTCTTGACGAAGAAGACATGCAAAAGTTTTCGAACGAATACGTTGCGTCAATTTCGATCCTGTTATGCCAAATGCTGTATACTGTAAAACAGAGTGAATTAGTCATTAATCAAGTTTAGAATCACCATTTTCACCTGAAAAAAACGAAGAATCAATAAAACAAGACCCAAAAGTAAACACAATAAGCTGATAGTCAGCACATGACGCCGTCGTTCGACGGTTGAACAATATTTGAATGCCTACACAAAATAAACAGATTGACATAAAACTATATATGAGTGATTTACGCTCGTATTGTATTGTTGGGTCGCTAACAGTAAAATCCTCATATCTCAGCTTCTACGCAACCGATTTTGATAATTTTTTTATAATTCTTACTGTCTAGGCCATCTACCAAATATACTATTAAGTCTTTAGGCTGATATCACTGTGCGGTTTTCCAGGGAAAAAGATAAATAATCGCTTTTCTTTGGCATAACTTTCATTGGACAAAATATAATTTTTTAGAGCTAATTTGTAGCCAAGACTTATTTCTTTCTGACTATATGAGTTAAGTACAGCTTCTATACCAATATACCCATCAAATATTGCAAAAACTGCCTGGACACACTAACAGAACATTTTATGTCCCGACAGATCGAATTGAAACTAATAAAGTCAATGTAGAAGTAAACTCAGATTTTCTTTCTTGCATTCAAGAGACTAAAGGACCAGAAACTTTTGGTGAGAATCCTTTTCGTCAGATATCCTTCGGTTGAAAACAAAATTAAAAACAAGAGAAGCAAGTGGATATGATGCCACTAAAAGTCTCGATAGATTTTTGATTTTATTACTTTGATTTCTCAGTACCTACAAGAGATCAAGCAAAGATCTTTTTATAGTCTTTAGGAGACCATACGGTAGAACTATGGTGAGAATTTCAACTTTTAGAAATATAGTGTTCATGAGAAAGCAGCATCTTACTCAAAAAATGTCCCGACACATTCTTTTGCATGGAAATGTCCCAACAGATTTAATTATGTTTATTTAAAAAAGCAAGGTACTTATTGTTATATGTTTGATCTACTCTTCTCGGATTGAGAGACGGTTCCGAATATTTACTAATGTTCTCGCACCATGAGTACCTCTGAGATCTGACTTTTTCTTCGTTTACTATCATGAAATAAGTTTGTATTTTGCATAAAAAGGATAAATGTGGAAAAGACTTTTCACCTGTTGCCAAAGATATTTCAACGTCTTGTGTTGCAATCAGGCTCGATATAACTCCTGATGATGATCTGACACTTTATTTGGTGACAGCTTTTAATCGAAGTTCGGATCGACGCCTGTCATCCCATTGCGACAGTGTCAAAAACGTTTTATTTATCATCCACGTAGGGGGGTACAGGCTAGATCGAAAAATTCTTTTGGAATATTATTAGGAGCTGTCTCTGACTTGAATTCAACACAAGAAACTGAAATATTTTGAATAACAGAAAAAAGGGTTTTTTTCGCCGTTCTCCTGCAAATTATTCATAAAATACTAGATTTTGACCACTCATGAGTTCGTTTTATTGTCGCACATCATCCTAAATGTTTTCGTTTATTTTTATTTCTTTTCGCATTAAATTAATTCTTCTAAAATAATTTGATTGATATGCAACAATAACGTAAAAAAGTACTAATTTAGAAATTTTATCATGCCAACAAATATCTGAACATACACGTACTCAGATAACTCAGTTTTTTCTGAAATGAAAAATCTGGTAGGTGGCAAAATACTCAATTTGTGCACAACAAATAAAGCTCTATCGAATGTGTAAGTCAAATTGTCTATATGTTCATTGTTATTCTTTTCGATTTTTTTCTGCCAACGGTACAATACGAGCGCAATTCACCCATATACATCTACAATCTTTTTGCATGATATTTAATTAGGTGGATAACTCACATCGACTGCTTTGGCAAATAAAAATGCGAAAAATGGTTGAGCTGCGCCAGTTAAAACACATGCTATACAACCAATCAAGATGGTAATCCATTCAGGACTATTCATGGACAAGAGTCTTAAAAAGACAAATCTTCGTCTCGATCGTTTTGAACTTTCCTAAATAAAGATTATCAGTAATGGTTTTTATCAATAGTTCTAATTGTATTTGTACTTTGTTCACATCAGCAATTTGACTATCACTAAGTAAATGAGCGCGTTCAACTATTCAAGAGAAAAAGACGAAGAAAAGTAAAGACTATTACTGTTAAAATATTAGCATGCCTATCGATTTTTCCTCCTCTTCTTCTGCTTTTTGTATGCTCATTATATCATCTGTATCATCATAGATTCTTGTCATTTGTTGACGTTTGACCATTGCTTGATATTTGCCTCCTTCTTTTACCATCAATGTTTCATGTGTACCTTGCTCAATCACACCTCCATTATCTAATACATATATTTGATGAGAATTTCGAATCGTAGTTAAACGATGAGCAATAACAATAGTTGTACGACCTGTACGAAATGATATATCAATAGAAAAAAGAGAAAAACTTATAATAACCTCTGCATGCTCGATCAATCGCTTCTTGAACAATTTTTTCATTAACATTATCGAGTGCACTTGTTGTTTCATCTAGTAAGAGGAAGGTAGGCTGTTTGACAAGAGCACGTGCTAATGCAATACGTTGTTTTTCACCACCACTCAATTGTACACCATGTTCACCAACAAGTGTTTCATATTTCTAAGCAAAAAATAATCATACATATACATAGATGAAGATAAATAGTTCACACAAACATTTGGTAATTGCATGATGAAATGATGTGCATTTGCTTCTCGTGCTGCTTGTTCAATTTCTGCTCGTGTTGCATTTACTTTACCAAAACGAATATTTTCATAAATACTCATGGCAAACAGAGTCTATTGCAAAAATGAATGAAAAAAGAAAGCAAGAAAACAAAAACGAAAACAAAGCATACGGGTTCTTGACTAACAACTCCAATCTGTTGTCGAAGTTGTTTGACATTGTAATCTGTTATTGGCCTATCATTGATAGTTATTTGTCCCGATGAAGGTTCATAGTAACGAAGAAATAGTGATATACATGTACTTTTGCCTATGAATCAATTATGAACACCAATGAGACAATTGCCATAGTTTTATTTCCAAAAAGACTTACCACAGCCATTTGAGCCTACAAGAGCAGTTGTTTGACCAGCACGAGCAATCAGAGAGAGATTGCGTAGAACTGGTACATCTTTTCGAGATGGGTACATAAAGTTGACATTTTGAAATTCAATGTCACCATTGATATCATAATTTGCTTCTGTATCCTGTTTCCATACATCTGTTTCATTGATACTTGCATCATTGCTCTATATCATATAAAAAAATACAAAACATTGCTATCAATATGAGAGACCTCAATTTATTCAGAGCTACCTCTTCAATAAGTCGAAATACCGCTGCTGCTGCACCTTGAGCTTCCGAAAGTGATTGAAGGTCAGGACCAATAAAACTGAAGAAATTCAAACATTGTGCAAAGATAGAGATGACCTGCATTACAATAGTAGTCACATATTCATTTTTTTATTGATTAATTCTATGAAAGACTCACGACAAGAATATCACTAATATTCGAGACCTGCTGATCTTCGCTTGACTTAAGAATAGAACCAAAGATAAAACCAAGTGAATAAACTAGGTAATTTATCAGAGATAGCCATCCAGAATAAATTCCAAACACTGCACCTTGGCGTACATTACTCCAGTGAGTTGAATATAATTCTTTTTCATATCTAAATACAATAAAAATAACAACATGTTTATGACATCAAATAGATAAACTGTCTTTATATATTCGTTTACCGTTTTTTCTCAGACTTCATACCATTGAGAGAAAGAACCGTTCGCAGTGAACTAAAAACTTCTTGAACGATATGTCCTGCTTTTGAGTACGACATTAACTCATTCATTGATTCCTTAGCATTGAGCTGTGACAATTCATATAGATTTAATTAATTAAACAACACTTCATACCTTAGAAAACATGAATGAACTACAAATTACTAAAGGGACTAAGCATAGCATGATCAAAGTCAATTGCCAGTGGACAATGAAAGATGCTATTAAACAACCAATGGTGGTGAGTAACCTAGCCGACAACAGTAAGAATTCAAAACCTATGCCTCTTTCGATCTTTCCAATGTTACTACGCAAGAGTTGAATCAGATGTAGTTATTTGATATAAAATATCACAATATCTTACTCAAATAGTTTAGCATTGAGTTGAGTGGTCGGTTTGATATCCATATAAGTGATATTCTAAAAACAGAAACTGAGTAATAGTCAGAGATGAACAAGTCAGACTACATTTATATTTTCTACATTTCAATTCACCTCAAACTCTATGTTTGTCGAAAGTCCTACTATAATTCTGATAGTAAAAATTCATGCTCTGCACGATCTGATTTCAAAACATTGAATTCTTTTGTTTTGGTTTCTGTGATCGATGATTTTCTTATCAGATTTTCGTTCTTTTCCTCGGCAAGTAGCGAAGTCAACAGAAACTAATTTGTCATTGATAAAAATTGATTAACTCCAACTATACTTCAACTGTGATTGAAGCCATCAAAAACTGCAACTCGACCAAATTCATCAAATATCAAGTTCTGCTATAACAACGATCTAATAAAGATGCGTTTCTAAATATATCCTTTCAATTTTAATGATTTTTCTAACCTATATATATATATATATATACACTAGATAGTATTCTAGTAGAAACCCTGAAAAGATTTCAGTTCTTTTTGAGGCTTGCTAGATCTATTGAAGTGTTAAGGTTTCTCTTTGTCTAAGGGTCATGTAGGAATCCCGAATTTTTGAAAACCCGTTCTTTTGAATTTTTATCTTTTCACTATCTCCGTCTGAAAGTTTCATATACAATAGCCTGTATGAAGAGTTTTAGAGTTTGCAGACTTCGTATTCCCTGTGATAGAAATTTTTCTTAAATGAATGCTTGTCGAAGTATTATGAACAGTATAAGAATATTTTGAAAAGTTCCTATCGTGAAGATACTATGTCTAAAGAATCTACAACAGTTCATACAAGCAATTGCATATGCGACCTGCAAATAGAGATACTTTCAACGTAAAATTCAAAACTAGGACTTTTTCAACAACCAGGAATCCTATAGAGACCTGTGGTAAATAAAAATATTAAAAGTTCAATAGCTCCGCCAAGTCTCAATAAGAACTAAAATATTTTTAATATCTCCACTAGAATAATATCTATTATGTACAGAAAAAAATCATTGAAACTGATTGCAGACATCTATGAACATTTCTTTGTGAGACGAGCCAATACTACTACAAATTCCATACATCAAAGTGTCTACTTCGAGTTGAAGTAGTGCGCATCTCTGAACAGAACAAGGTCATTTCCATATACGGTCATCTAGAAAATATATAATACGATGAAAATAACGACATAAATTCATGGCTATTCCTAAAATATCATTGCAGAATCACACTATCTAAACTTCAGTTTTTCGTTTATATTTCTAGTTTTATTATTTCTAAAAGTGTATCAATAATGAAAACTTCAGTCTTCATTATTGTCAAGGCATTTTTTGCTGAAGTTGAAAATGTTTCAACAAACACTATATGATTGAAATCACACTATAAAATTTAGAAACGATTATATTTGTATGAGCTACTAAGAAGGCATATAGTATGTGAGTGACAGCGAAGTTAAGGATATATTTGTGCTGTTGTCTTAAAACCCTACTTTCAAATCTAGAACTCCTAGAAATTTACATATCTCTAAATAAATGTAATTGTTATCTAGATACTTAAGCTTTTTTCATAGGTTTGCTAGAATTGCTAATTTATGGATGGTGAGGATTTCTCAAGGAGGTAATAGCGGACTCCAAGATTTCGAGACTTCATTGGACTCCTTTGGACTCCAAATACTTCGGGAGTCTTGGAGTCTTCAAAAAATAGAATATTGCATACTTTCTTCTCCATGCATTACAATTACAGTACTCATCTAATTAACACTAATTAAAATGAGTACTCATCGAACTAATACTAATTAAGTTGAGTACTAAGTTGAGCTCAACTTAGTAGTCAACTAATTAGTATTTACTTAACTTGTAATAGATAGAGAAAAAACGTAATCTTCTATTTTTGCGGATTCCAGGACTTCACGAGATTGGAGTCCACTATTTCTCCCTTGGGATTTCTGAAAAAGAAAGTATATCAGATGTTTTAAATTTATAGTAATGCTAACAAAAGATTGGAATTAAACTTTGAGGAAGTATCTTTTGCAAGTGAAAATGTATTTGAATTACGCGTTGAATCAATGAGCGAAAGAGGGACACACTCATTCGAAACATCTGTCGTTTAACACAAATGATCCAAACGAAATTTTCAATTGAACCAGCCAAGAATTCGACGCCACCAGTAACTACAAAAAGTAAGAAATAAAAACAATGTACATTCTATGTTACAATTAAATTATGATGTTCACTTCACTTACTCAATAACCAGCAAACTATATTCATAACTTTTTCTTTGAATGAAGGCATTGATGTACCTAAGGTTGATAATAAACTTACATCACTGTTATAGTGCAATCTACGATAAAAACATCAAAGGAAAATAGAAACAATACATAGTAACTAATAATAGATTTTAGTGGATTACTTATGCGACGAAACATTGCTAAAAATATTAAATCCATTGCTCTTAGCACCTGTATTGTTGTTCTGAATTAGAGGGATTGAATTTATGTGTTGATCATCACAATTATCACTATATGATTTCATAGCAAATAATCCTATGAGGCGACCGAAGAGAATTTTGTTCGTGAGAATGCAAAGCGCATGTAGCACTGTCAAACACAAAGTAATGAATATCAGGATAAAATCAATACGATTCGCAAACCAAAACTACGATAAAATCAAACGCATCAATCAGTATGGATTTTGTCTGAATACACTTACTAATCGAAGAATACTAACTGCTTCATCTCTATCAGTATGTTTAGTGTCATCATCTAATTTTATATATTTATTATTGCTCTCTTTTCTTCTGAAACATCGACGCCAATCAGTAAAACTATAAATAATGGTAAAATCATTGTATGTTTTTCGAAATTTCTTATTTATAAACTTATACCTTTTGATCAATAGTTTTTTCCTGTTTCCAGTATGTTCATCATCATCATCATCGTCAATAGACATTTTGGTAGATGCGTTTAGCAGAGGTTGTCTATGAGCCATTAAATGTTTTTTTCAATAAAACTATGACGAATAACATCAAACGCATGAATAAATCAATATTGCAGTAAACAGTATTTCATGACGTTGGTGTGGTTGCTCATGCGTTTATTTTCTTCTTTCTCTACTTGTCTCTCAAATGGAACGTCATGCGTGATCAAACGGCCGTTTAACATAAGAAAGCATAACTGTAAGAGCGCCTACTGATTTATTCTTATTTGTATGTACAGAGATGGGGGTAGGGATGCATGGTGTCAGCGTCAGCGTGTACGTGGTTGCGCATGCGAGTGTAGTAGTCGGTTTATATCTTGAACGATAGAAAAAAAACTACATTTGCACGCATCCTAATCTGTAATTATTATTATATCGTTAGACATATAGGCCTTGTCTACACTACAAAAGTTAATTCAGATGTAATGCACTTTTCGAAGACGAATTAAATTTAACCCTTTCAATCTCGCATGCCATCACATGCAGAACGAAAAAGAAATATTTTGCGTTCGTTCGCCTTCTTAGACGACGAATATCATACGATATTTTCAAATGAAAATCACTTCGTATGGATATGAATAATGAATCTAGAATTCGAAAACATATGATTGTGACAGTTGAACGCAAGAGAGAGAGATTAAATTATCTTTTTTCATGTTCGTGTAGAACGCAAGAAAATGATAGCATTGAAAGGATTAATGCACCAATCATGCAAGGACTCGATCACTAATTAAAATGATGAATTGGCCTAGATAAAGACGCTGTATGTCATCGACAGATAGATATGTTCAATATGATGAACTATAGAGATTGAAGAAAAAGACATAAACGACTTTTTTTTTCGTGAACACGAGCTAGAATTGTGCACTTCGACTACATTATAGTGGCCATTTCTCAGATTTGATTGATGCATTAAATTCATAATTGTAGACGCATGTAAATTTAATTCGAAATTAATACGGAATTATTTTTCTAGTGTAGATAAGACCATATACATGTATCGATGTAAAGCTATCACGAACACCAATTAGCAAACACATTTGGTTGTTCTATCCAATCAATTTGGCTCCACATTTTACCGTTTGTGACTCAACAATGTTAAAAACCATAAAAACCACTTCAAATACCAAAAACCGATGATTTGAAACTGTAGCTTGTGACTAGGGGTAGACCTTGTTTTTTCAAGTTAATTCAGTTAAGTTATTAAGTGATTGTACACAACACTTAATATTAAGAAACTAAGTTGTCAGTTCAAACTTAATATTAAAAGTTAAGTGAAAACTTAATACTTAATATTAAGTGTTAAATAAAGGCGTCTACTAACTGAACTTAATTAAGGGTGATTAAAAGATTGTTGTCCGTTCCGACTGGCCCGATATCATCCATAGATAGTCCTAAATAAAGATGTCATAAGACCTCTACCGTACTGCTAGTTTACCAAGAAAAATGAAACCCTCAGTTTTAAGAAATTAATGGTAGATTCGAATTCCTCGACAACGGAAGCGTTTGATCAAACTTTGTAGAAAACCGTTATCTTTCAAAAATAACCTAACCTTATCAAAGAAAATCAAACTCAAAATTTTGAAAAAAACCGGTTTTCTTCGCTCAAGCTTTATAAACAACGGTAATATTTCTCCTCTATTTCCCAGTGAAAAATATTCCGAAGAAAATCCAGATTATTTTTGATTAGCGACTGACAAATCCGATTTTTCGAACAAAGCTTCTACTTTTTCTAGAAGAATCAGATTAAAATCGATTAAAATGCTATAATCGATTGTAAAGTCAATCAACTCAGTCAATTATTTTTGATTCACCCAACTAAAATCGGATTTTTATTGGACAATCGATTTTTATCTGCTCAATCGATTGCCCATGTTTTGTTTAGTATGAGTAGTTTGTAGACACTTAATTTTTTCAAAAAATAGAAAAGATATTTGGTTGGAATAATAGCTATATGTAATGTTTTGCGAAAATAGTTCATATACTTTAGATTCATGATCGATGATTGACTTCCTCTCTTGCATTGAAATTCAGATAC